CATCACATTCACTAAGATCAATGGTCTAATTGGTCATTAACCCAGAAGTGATTGGGGCAACCGAGTACTTTTTTTAAGGCCAAATTCATTCATATTATCACTATGTGGGCTTGAAAGTACAAATGCAACCTTCTTGCATGATGATGAAAGTGAAGGAAGCTTTCTCAATGAGAATGTACTTAAGTTCGGCTACTTTTAGGATGCGACTCACATACTACACCGACTTATGGACATTCTCTTCCTCTCGGACCAAGACCGAGCTTACGGCTTCCGCCTAAATGGCTAAAGTAGAGATAGAATTGTTCTCCTTCTATTGGGTTGCTTAACAAGGGCTTGGAGGTTAGATACCTCATGAGCTCTGTGAAATCGTTGTTACACTCTGTCTTCCACTGGATGTTATCTTTGAGTCCTTTAGTCCCCTCAGGATTTTGAAGAAGGGAGGACTTTTCTTAGTTGACTTGGAGACGAAACAGCCCAAAGCCACTACCCTCCCGTTTTATTTTTGGATGTCGTTCACCGTGCGAGGTTTGAATATCCCCTCAATTGTAGCTATTTTCTCTGGGTTGATCTCGATTCCTCGCTGCGTGATTATGAATCCAAGGAATTTGCCCGATCACACTTCGAAGGCACACTTCATAGTATTGAGCTTCATTTGATATCTATGGATGTTAGAGAAGGCTTTTTTGAGATCCACAACATGAGAGTCTATTTGTTTGGACTTTATCAGGATGTCATCCACATATAACTCTACATTGTGACCAGATTGATCCTTGAAGATTTTGTTGATTAACCTATGGTAAGTTGCCCATGCATTCTTGAGATCAAAAGGGCATTAATTTATAACAATAAGTACACTGATCTGTGATGAAAGAGGTGTTTTCTCTTCATCATACTCCATCCATCTTTATTTGGTTATAAACCAAGAAGGCATCCATCAAGCTAAGCATTTCATGGCCGACGTTTCAACCAACTAATTGGTTGATTTGAGGTAGAGAAAACTATCCTTAGGATAGGCCTCATTGAGGTTAGTGAAATCGACACACATTCTCTATTTGTTGTTGGCTTTCTTGACTAGCACCACATTTGCTAGTCATTCTGGGTATTTGACTTCTCGAATGAACCCGGCCTTTAGCAATTGGTCAACTTCTTCTATAGCCATCTGCTATCTCCATGGCCCGATATGTCTCTTCTTCTGTAGTACCAGCTTGTTGTGTTAGTCGACACATAGCTCATAATCTGTTACCTCTAGTTCTATCTATGGCATATCTTTAGGTCCCCAGGCAAAAATGTTTGCATTGGTGCAGAAGAATTTGATGATTGCTCCTCGCTCAACCAGCCTCGACCCAATTTTAACTTTTTTTGGTTTCGTCAGTGCTGAGCTAAATTTCTTCCAATTCCTCCATGGGAGTTGTCTATTTCCTTTTCAATTCCTCCATTGGAGTTGTCCATTTACTTTCTTCATCTTTTTGTAGGTAGGCTTGGGACTTCTCAATCAACAAGGGTTTTCAGGTCCCTTTACCCTTCACAGAGAACAACTAGCATGACCTAACCTCACATTGATTACTCCACACAAGGTCAACTCCTTTGAGAGTCCAGAACTTCACATTTTGCTAGTAGGTTAAGGAAACATCTTGGAGGTAATTCAAGGAGGTTCTCCCAAGGATGATGTTGTAAGCCGATTTGACGTCTATCACAATGAATTTGACCTGAATTGTAGATTGGTGGGGATAATCACTAATGACCATAGGTAGGATGATCAACCCTTCTGGTTGAATCGAATGGTTCGAAAAGCCTACCAGAGGATTGGACATGGTTGCAGCTCTAATCTGTTTATCCCCATCTGGTTGAATGTGTCCATAGACAAGATGTCGACTAAGCTTTCTGTGTCCATCATGATCCTCTTGACTCGAAACCCATTTTATTTATGTGGAGATGATGATAAGATCATTGTGAGATGCCATTAGAATTTTAGATCTCATCATGAGGTGGTATTACGCCTTTCACATTGGCACTGTTGAAGGTGATGGATTGATCCATCTTGAGCTTCTTCTCGCATAGTACACTTCAATGGCTCATCAAGCATACTTCTTCCAAGCATTATTCAACATTCCTCTTGCTATTGGCCACCACTGATAGTGTTGATGGTGCCTTTGTCATTGGCTTTTCTTGCTGACTCTTTTGCTAACTTGGGTGTGGGATCTTGATCTCCCCCTCTCTGATCTATCCGGGTTTGGTCCCCTCCTTTCTATGGTTGTTGAGGTATTTCATCAACAGCCATCCTTTGATGAGGTCTTCAATGACTCTTTGCAAGACTTTGCAATCATCAGTGTTGTGTTGTGGTCCCAATGATAGAGGCAATATTGTCGAGAGGCTCTCTTGAGAGGTTTTGAAGTCATACAAAGGGGAGTTTGATGAGAAGTCCCTTCCTTTGGATCCAATGCAATACTTGTGAGATGGAAGCATTGAGAAGGGCAAACGCCTCCTCATTGCATCCCTTCTATGTTCTCTCTTATTAGGCCAGTGAAATCTAGACTTGGACTCAAATCGGTCGCCTTCAGTCTTCTTGCATCTAGAAGATTCGCCTTTGATAGCTTCCCTTCAGGCCACATTCTTATGAAGGTGATTGTCTTCCTTGTCCATGTGTGTCCGACCTTTGGTCGAAATCCACTATGAGGTTCATGATGACTGATTCAGATAGTTTATCATCTTCTAGACCTAAAATTATTGCTGCCATCGCCACCATGTTGTTGGGGTCTTTTACCTCTAACAGCTTGGCTTAGAATATTTTGAAGTATTCTCCCAGAGTTTTGTCAGGCCTCTATTTGACTTGCAATATGAGAGTGAAGGATACCTTCTTGAGTTGTTTGTAGTTATGGCTAGACTTTCCTTCTAAAAAATCCCACCACATCTTGGCACTACTACTAAGTGTGACGGGAGAAGCTCTATAGATGATTGGATTAGTCACATGCTGCATGCACATCAAGTCAAAGAAATTATATGCATGTTAGGTCGGATGGCCTTCGCCCTTGTATTCCTCAATGTGTGCCATGTTGAACTTAGTATAGGAAGCATTCATGATTTTATCTAAGAGGGGAGTATTTCCTCTAATAATATAGGTCACCATGTTGAAAGTCCAATTATAACCAGAAGTTAGGTTGGTCGTAGAGGGGCCTGCCTAGGCCGCTGGGATTTGGGTCATGTAGATGTATCTCACCCCTCGCAACACCGTGGTGTGACTCAACCCATGGCTTGAGCTTTCGCCTGTCGCCAAGGGGCCAGTGGTTTTAGGAACTTCTCGTGGTTTTAGGAACTATCTGTTGGCTTTAGAAAAATCCAGGGATCACTGTCCTATTTTCTGCCCCAAAAAACTCAAAATTGGGTCTAGATCACTCCTGACCCACTTTTAGGGCCTGTTTGTTTCACCAATTTTATGGAATATGAATGGTATTTGAACCTGACAATGGCGTTTTCATAATTAATGGATTCCAAATGAATCCTAATCCTGAGTTTGGTTCAAAATTTTTTTATAGAATTGCTAATCTATAAAGTGGCTCAAACAGTGTATATTTCAGGAAATCCAAATCCAGTCCATTTGCTAGGAATTGGGTGGAATTTCTGACACCTCTCCTCTTTTTTATTCTGATTCCTAATCCTATTCTTAATCCTTTGGGTGAAGCAAACATAGAATACAAAAAAATAGGATTCCATAAAACTAAAAATTGTCTATAACTTTTTTATGGATTAGGTTAGAATCCATAAATAAAATAGGATTCCTAATCCTATTCCTACCCTCTATTGAACCAAACAGGCCCAACTTTCTAGAAATGTACTTATTTATTATTGTAACTATCGTAACGGTCTAAACATAAGTGTACACATAAATGTCCATTTTAACATTATAATTAGTAGCACACTCATTTTGCATCATTAAAAATTAATAACTAAGTTCCAATCTTAGTCAGATCATTGAATAATGCTAACTAGAGGAGAGATAGTCTAAAAACCCCTAAATTTTACACCTCTTTTCTAAGACATCCCTAGCTTTCTATTTTTTTAACAAAGAAGCCCCTAAGTTTCACTTATCTTTTCTAAGAAGCCCCCAGCTTTCTTTTCTTGACAATGAAGCCCCTACATTTTACACTTTCTTCTAAAAAGCCCTTAAATTTTACTCTTCTCTTCCAAGAAGCCCTCAGATCTTGTTAACTCAGAGAATTCATTGTCAAAAAAAAAGTTGGGAGTTTTTTAGAAGAGACGGCAAAAACTTAAGGGCGTGTTTGTTAGAAATAAAAAATTAAGAGGCTTCTTAGAAAAGATGAGTAAAACTTAAGGTGTTTCTTTGTCAAAAATAAAAGGTAGGGGCTTCTTAGAAAAAAAAGGTAAAACTTAAATAGCTCTTTAAACTATATTCTCCCAACTGGACTATAGTCTTCCAAACTACTCCCACACTACAAACAAGGAAAGAAGTGTAGGCTTCTTTAACATGCCGTTAGTTCTGAAAATTTTTGAAGAACGCATCTCATACTTCTCTCTTTCATAGTGTGAAAATAGTTTAGAGATAATAGTCTACTTATCACTACCCAAGATCATTTACCAACATATGCACAATTATAGAAGAAATCCCTCTGAATCGCTGTCACAAATCCTGCTATTTTCAGACTAATTGATCAATTTTGAAGCGTATGGACAGTATCCCTGAATGTTAGGCATTCATCTCTTGAGAAATTGCCTGAAGTTGAGCATGAAAGATAGAATTGTAGAGGTTCTCCGTTTTCCTTGATACACAGATTTCATCACAGGAGAAGCTCTCAAGCTTCACTGGTTCCTTGATACACAGTTTTCATCGCAAGGAAAAACTTTCAAGCTTCACTTTGAGAAATACAGGCTAGCTTGTCATTTACCCAGGCAATTTACCTTGTCATCTGTGTTTCAACCGTAATACTTTCCACATTGGAATAGCATGAGAAAAAATAATGACCAGGAGCAAACAACGCGAGCGCAAATCATTCCATAAACCTCAAATAGAACATGATGGAATTGACAAATGGAAGCATTAGGAGAAATTTTGGAATTTTGAGACTCTTGTCCTATGAATTGCGTATACAGGTTTTGAACTGTGTTAAAAGCTCAGTAAATAACTCTCAGCTTTGAAATATCAGATGTATGCTTCCCTAAATCAGGTCATGAGGATATCTTCTTCAATATGAGCTCACGTCAACACCTTTGCTCCTCAAGAAATCCTTGGCCTCTGCGATATCCTGTGATTGAAAGTACACGAATCATCCCAATCTCAACATTGTTTTCTGGTTAGCCACAGTAGAGAAAAAAGATGATAATTCATCTAATAATACATTCCACATAGCAATGATTGGATCCAGGTCCAAGACACAGAGCTGATAAGTTCATTGTTTCAGATACAGTAACAAACTGTCAAATATGACAATTTGACAACAAATCTGATAAACTTGATGAACTGTATGGTTTGTGCATTATATAAACATTAGATCCTGGCGGATTTATATACATTTCATGCAGCTTTTCACATATTTTTCTCTATGACCTTGTGGCCTCAGGTTATTTTGTTGATTTAAACAAATCAAATCACTTCATTTGTTTTAAAAATCTATAAATCAAGTTTGTTCATCAACTTCTAATCATAATAAATCTACTAATGTTGCCTGATTAAACTTGAGATTAAAAAGGGTAACTCTAACTTGAGAGCACATGCATGGTGATGTGGATCCAATGTAGATAAAATAAGGGTATTTCTGTCATGTATATTATGAACAGTTAAGTTAAACATTCTTTGCTTTTGCTATGGTTCATCATTCATTCGATTCAATTTGAGCAAGGGTAAGAACACAAGGTCATGCAGATTAAATGTAAAAGAAAAAGGATATATGTAAATTGCCCCCAAAATATTACTTATACTACATCTCCTATGCTTAACTATACCTTACATGAAATGATAGGTCCCTCTCACAAACTGAAACCCATGAATACTACACGCTTTGGATTTTCATGATATATCCAACTACTGGACCACCTTAGGCAGTTGGCTCTCTAACAATATAATGAAAGTCAAATGTACGAGTTACAAACAAACGCCAAAAGTAACACTTTCATTTTATTGTTATCTCCGATCTAAATCCTCTACCCAAAACACAAATATACAAAATTTCAGTAGCTCATGATCCTCAGCTCTCATCAGAGGTACAATTTGGACTGCATAATACGTTCCTCGAGAAAAAGAAAAAGGAAAACCATGTACAAAAAATGTCACCCATGGCTTTGTTGAATATCAGAAAGAAGAGTAATTGTATTGTATAGAATGTCTTTAATTCTATTTTTCTTGGAAATATGGGACTGGAAGAAAAACTACGCAAACAAACTAGTCAACTATGATCAAACTGAAAGATGTTGTCTCAAGTACCCAACCAAAAAACAAGGTGGTTGACAGCATTGAACGAAATATAGGCCCATTGACAAAAAAAAAGAATGAATAGGCCTTTGATGGTTTGCATTGCATATGCAGGCAAATGGCAATAGTAACACTGGCTATTGACAGATCAGGTCAATAGGAGAAAGAAAAGAGTTCGCAGCCAATCAGATCAGCAGAGACAAAGGAGATGTTGCACTTGTCAAAATAATTTTGTAAGACTTATTCAGAGAACAAAAAATGTAGAAACTTTCGACATCCTAGCAGCAGTCAGAATTGCCTAACAAGTTTGTGGGAAAACGTCGCAGGACTTTAGTTATCTGGTGATGCAACTCCTACCTTTCCCATTTTATCCTAATGCTGAAGAGAGCTACTGGCTTTTCCTCTCTGCTACATTGATTACAAGGATTACCGTCGGAAAGACGACACGGACAAAGCAGTAGTGCATAGCATTAAGGATTTTTACTATGGGACACCAGCCTTCCATTTTCATTTTATATTGGCCATGAATTAGAAAAGCACTCACAACAGCAAAATGATAAACATATAATTTCACATACACAAGTCATTGATTTATAAATTCAGTTGGATTTGATATTAGAATTCATATTATCTCATTTTTAATCTAGAATTCTGGGAATACTATGTCAAAAACAACTAGGCTTCTAGCCCAAATGTTTGGGGTCGGCTACACAAATCATATTCTTCCATTCATTTCTATGATGGGTCTAACTCCTCCATTAAGTTAACTATCATCAAATCATTCTTAAATCTTGAACGGCTCCAATCAACTTCTTTAGGTCTACCTCTACACCTTTTCGTCCCCTCAACTATAAACTTATCGCTTTTCCGAACTTATGCATCAGTTAGTGGCCTCTGCTGTACATGACAAACCAATTCAATCGATTTTCTCTCATTCTATCATCTAGTAGCCTCGGTTGTACATGACAGAACCCTCTCAATCAATTCTCTCTCATTTTATCCTAGACGGGTGGAACCTCTAATATCCTATTCACTAATTTTCTATTCTATCTAGTACTCTATATCCATAACACCATTGTTAATATTCTCATTTCTGCTACACTTATTTTTACAAATGTTGTTTTCTGAATGCCCAACATTCTAATCCATGGAGCCTTACTGGTCATAAAACTGTCCTATAGACCATTGTAATGCCAAACATTCTGATCCATGGACCATTGTAATATTTTATAGGTGATCCTATTATAACGTAAATCTCTGAAACACTCTGCCATTTTAACCAGTCTGATCCGAATTGGTGAACTACATCATATCCTCAATCACACTATCAATGATGAATAACTGATCATAAATAACAAAAGTGATCACTCTTCAGGAATACCATGTAAAGCCGTAAATTTGGACTCTAAAATCAAAATTTTGAAATTCCTTACAACTATCACTGTTTTAATGTCCACATCAAAATGGCCAGATTCATAGTAATGCTTGTGCAATTTAATGTCCACACCAAAATGGCCGCCTCTGATGACGCATGTACAAATTGTCTCATGCAACATTTTAATTATGGGCCAAAAATGTAGTAGACCAAGCTAACCAAAAAGATACTAAAATAAATAAGGTCAGTCAGCTACTCAAAGGAAAGACGTCTAAATATATATCATGCAGCAATTCTATGAAAATGTGAGTGAACTCAACCATAAATAACAAAACTCCAAACAGATCATGGGCAGAAATCAACTAAAAACTGATTAATTGCGCCAACGACAAGTAAAATAACCTTTTGAAGAAGATCGGCTTCTTGAGGACACGTAGGGAAGCACATCAAACCGACTCCAACCATTAGAAGACCATAACATCCTAGCGCAACAACTAGATAAATAGGGAGCTGGAAGAGAAGTAACAACAAGATGTAAGCATCACGTATGACGAAAATACATAATTCAATATGGAAGGAAACTAACCAACAAAGCATAGCTTTGTGGAACAACCGAAGATGCTAAAAGGCCAATCCAGACGGCAGAAATAGCCACTAGCAATGAAATAATCTTGAAAATGTGCTTCATTTGGTATTAGTCAAGTCTTTCCCAAACTCAACCCACAAAGAGAGATAGATTCCTGTACATATCATAAAATAACTAGAAGGTGAAATTAACTAGATTTTAATGTCAAAAAAGAAAAAAGAAAATCAATCTAAGCTGCTGCTGATTTGGGACACATCAATGTGTTCTAATCTGCCACTGACTCGAAGGAAAATAAATCATTCAGCAAAGAAAATGATAAACTGAGAAGGCTCTAGCATTTGCAAGTTTCAAATCCTTGCTCAGAAGAATAAATCTACGCTTATGTTCATCAATTTCATAAGCCTCAATAGTTTCTTTTATCTTCGACTGCTAACTTCACCAAGCTATTCCCAAATCAAAACCAGCTTCAGATATCACAGTAAAATAATAATAATAATAATAACAACAACAAATAGAAAACCAACTTAAAATCTAAATTAGATAAAATCATAATCAAAATTGAGAAAATATCTAAGTACCTGGAGATCCTCGACAGCGGATGATCGAGAAGAAGAGGACGGGCGATGGGTTTAACTTTAAGAGATCGAACACAAATTCAGCTAGGAATTTTTCTGTTTAGGGTTTGGGGCCGAAACCGGGTCGGGTTTCACACAGCCGGATCCACAATGAACCCTTCTCTCTGGTTTATTTTCTTTTTTTCCTTAATTTTGGATTTACGTAACACTTTTCACTGTTAAAAAAGCGATAGTAAAACTGAGCCTAAACAACATAGGGAGAATAAAAAAGTTTATTCATAGTTACCCATTTGGATATAGTTGTGAATAAACTTACTTTTCTAATTACCATATAATTGTGAATAAATTTTGGGTTTATAATTTCGATCTCCCTCTACTCCTATTGCTAGCCACGTTCATCGCTCAAATGCTCGGGATGGTCTAGACCATATCTATATTCAAATTCTTGTGAATCACTTTTGACTCCTAAAATTTTTTATTTAAAAACCTAATCAGGCACACAAATTTATGAGCCACCATGAACTTTTTCCCCCCATTGGATAGTGCAAAAGTAGTGTAAGATTTACAATATAATTATGCTACTCAAATTTTGTTCACAAGTTACAGAACTTGAGTCTAAAGCTTCCAACAGTCCACCTAGAACTTAGTCTTTATGTGCATTACTCTGCATACTTTTACGTATAACGTGATATACATGTTGAAGCATGTGTATTATTATAGGTAGAAACAATCATACAACAAACTTAATGGCATTATACTACGATGCCTTCGAATACATATGTAGGAAGCAAATATGCTATTCTTTCAAACAATACACGGCCTGCTAATATTCAATCTTCAGCAGATTTCCGATACATCAATGCATCTTTTGCAGTTATCTGGACAGAAGCTGGTTCTGAAAATACATCCATCACTTTGGATGTCGCCATGGAGTGTTTAGATTTCTGGTTCACACCGAGCCATTGCTTCAAAAGTCTAAACACTGTCTTGTCACACAACAAACCTCGGTGAGTGGCCTTAACTCCGACTCTGTCTACCGCTTCAAACCCATCAGCCTGGAGGAAAAATAAAAAGAACAGAAAGAAAAAGAAAAAAAAAGACTTATATATCAAATCGTAAACATACACTAATATCATAATGCTCAGATGCATAGATTAACAGGTTTCATGGGAATGGCAGAAAATGGCCATGACAACAAAAAGAAAGCAAATTAACTTACTTGAATTCGTCAATGAATTGATCGATGTTGTTCCAACTGATGTTATTTTTTAGTTATCACTTGTTATCCTTATTAGATTACAGCACACAGATAACTTGTGCCTATACATCTGTGTGTGCGCGCGTGGGTGTATGTGGGTGCGTGTGTGCATGGATGTGCGGGCGCGTGAGTGCGCATGCCTGCACGCGCATGTACACACTTTTATGGACTTTGATGTAACTCTCATTGTCTACATACTATTGAAAAGCTATTATTAGTGGAGATCTTTTTTTTCTGTAACTCTTGATATAAAATGTATCTTCCACAATATGGAATCTGAGTAAGAGTTTGATCTCACCCCATGCTTTTTCTTTCAGGAAAAAAAAACTCCAAACAATCAAGTATAGCTCATTAGTGAACAAGTTGCTTTCTCACAGACTTATTTGCTTCTCGAGGACATGTGGGAAAACACGTAAAATAGCTTAAAAGGTTACCATTGTAGATTCGGCAGGCACAGTTCCATCTCCATCCACATAAGTATACTGAGGCTGCAATAAGATCATGGTGAGATTAGATATACTAATTAAAGATGATATTGGCAGCAGCATAGTGGACATTTCTAATTGGGATGCATACCGTTGTGTGGCATACTTTGGACAAGTCATCGATAGGAGAGGTTTCTGATCCGTAGCTGCAATAAGAAGGTTAGAACGTGTGAAATACCAAAATTGAGAGAGTGGATTTTATGAGGCTATTCATGGTAATTTCATCTGGGATTGATAAATACACATAACGAAATTTTTTGTCAACTAACAAGAAACTTTCAACCTTTTGTTGTGAAGTGCTTATCACATAATCATGTACCGAAAACCTTGATTGAGTTTTTTTGTTATAAACCGCCAATAAACAATGAGGTAAGTTACTTAAAAAAATAGATAAAAAGAAAAGAGATACGATCCTCATAAAATTGTCATGAAGGATTGTTGGTCCTCTATCAGTTAATTGGATAGTTATGATTCTTCAAATATGGTAAAAGAAAATTAATGAGAGATGGAGAGGCATCCTGTAACTTGTAAGTATCCAAGAAGTTTCATTTCTCATGTTTCCTGAGATAGACAAGGATAGAACTTTCGAGAATCATCATGAATTACAAGCTGGTGCCAAGCACACCCTAACTAACATACATTTCCTGGAAGTGACATGTTGTGCATAAGGGCCTAAACTCAAAGGCACACTGAAAACTTAAAGAAATGCCGAAAAGGTGAATAAGCATCAGCAATTACTGAGGAGAACAGATTCATTTTACTGTAAATAAAACCATATTACCATTGAACTTAAGAGTATAAATAATTAGAGTAACATACCAAACGTCATATGGAGTATCAAATGATATGCCGTATATGTTATAAAAGCTGACACTCTTTGGTAATCGGACATTGTCGAGAATCCTACGAGTCTCAGCAGCCCATTTGTAAACTGAAAAGTTGAAAGGCAGAGCAACTGACTTCCCATTGTAATTCAGCTACAAAATCAACAATAATAAAAAATTATAAAAAGAATTTTCAGCTCAGTTCGTCAACATATTGAACTAATATGTACACTGACTAGTAATGAATAACATAGCCAGTGAGACATGACACAAAGCCATATAGCAGACGGAACTATAAACATAGCATAATTAAGGCTTGCAGGAAAGAGAAAATGCAAAAATTAACAGTCTGGGGCGGTCAGATGTTCAGAAACAAAAGTTTAATACACGCATCAGAATCTTCCAAAGATTATCAGAACATAGGAAATAACCCATAGTGATATTAATGCCATCATGGCTTCCATAAATTCTTACACTGAAAATGACAAAAAAGCAGAAAGATGAGAATTCTCTCTATATGCTATCAAAATGTCTGTCTAATATCAGGCAAAGGAAGTAGTCAGCAGCTACAGCTAAATCAACTTACCCCTTAAACAACAATCTCTTGTGGAATGGTAAAATTTTTTAACAGGAAAAAAAGAAGAGAGGGTTTTTTTTTTTTTTTTTTTTT